GTTCTTCAAGTATCCCGACTTACATCTCTGTAACCATGCAAAAGCAGCTCTAAGAACTATTTTCGATCACTGGTGATGCTACAGAGCCAAATACACACCTTTTGATGCAACGATGAAATTCTTGCCGCAGAGGCAGCAGCACTAATAGTAGGCGATAGAATGGTAACGCCTTCATCGGATCAGAAGAGGTTTTGAAACGGGGACTGCAAATTCTTGCGTCATTGCAAGGCATTTCTTGCGATTATTTCTGGAACTTTTGCATGGTTCAAAATGCTTACAAACATTTGAAGTTCGAGATTCTTTAAGATCCTTGAATTAACTTTGAATTTCGCTCCTTCGTTCCGCATTTTGTGAGCTCCTGGGAGTGGAGATGAATGGAACTAAAAAGATCTTACAGCAAGCTATCGCTCGCAACGGGAGTGATTAAAACAAAAAAGTTTTAATGAATATCAACGTAATTACAAAGTAAGCTATATGCTGTTGGAAAATATCTTCTCTCTTCTAGGATTAAAGCATTATTCTTTTTGATGCTAAACTTCAAAATTACCTTTTTTCGAGCTTATTCAAAAAATTAACAGTGTCTTTGTTTTTTTTTTTGTAAAATACCGTGGAGAACTGTATAACGATTTGGATTATAGATGCGACGTCTGTTTGTGGAATGGTTACCATACATCCTTATGATGCGAACGCCGGATCATCCAAGGGCACCGAAACCGAAGGTAATGTTTGAAAAACACAACATAACAGATCTAAAACGGTTTAAAGGCACTCTCAATGTGCAATTAAGTTCAGGTGATTGGTAAGAGCGTACTGCCAATTCATCGTCTTAGCACACTGCCAATTCTCAATTTGCCTCGACATTCTGAAGTTAATGCTGCAATTCGAAGCAGCTCAAAGATTCAGAAGGGTGAGCGGACCATTCAGAGTCTTTTCCAATTTTAGGACAAATCAGTCATTTTAGAGAAACCCTTACCCTACCTAAAATACTTCTACCAGTTCTGTGATGATCTGAAAGCGATCAACGAAGATTTGGAAAAGATGACCGCTGTGATTAAAGAGACATATGAACATGAGATGGTAAAGTTCATCTTTAGCACCAGAAATCAACTGTGCAAGAAATGCAGCCGATTCCTCTAGCATGATCTTAAGATTCGTATGCATCGACAAAT